AACTAAAGTAACATCTTACTCCCGATTTCTCTCAACATGGGCACAGGAGAGCTTTCAATCAATAAATGGGGAAAAAAAAGTAACTGGCGTTACTTATTTGAAAAAGTAACTTGAAGCGTTACTTTACTAGTTACTTGAAAAAAGTAATCTGATTACGTGACTCGCGTTACTTGTAATGCGTTCCCCCCAACACTGGTCTTAGGCACTGGAATAAACAGAGTCTGGGTAATATGTCATGTCTAAAACCATACAACAACATGAGCTAAAATACAGCTTTGAAAAATAATTTATTGCTTTATTATTATTAGCATTTTTTAATTCACATTTTCATATTCCATTATTACTTTTCATTATTTTTGAGTTATTGTGAGTAATGACAAGATTAGCATCATCATATATATTATTTTTTACATCAAATACATCTTTTTTTTTTAAATCTTTAAAAAAAATCAGGAAAGAAAATTGTAAACTTTAGTTTGGCATTCACATAATCAACAGTGTGGAGCAAAGACAGATTTTCTGTGGTACAACAAAATACCTGCAAAATTATTTTATTGCTTCATGTAATAAAAAAAGAGATGAAAAAGGGGGACGGAAGTGTTTTAGAGCTAGAAAAACAAGTTTGGAGCAGCAAAATTCATCATGAGCCTATACAATATGTTTTTTCATATCTCTGAAGGCATATATAAAAACGATATTTCTTAGAACTTTTAAATTTACATCTTTTCCAGTGATTGTTGAATAACAAATAATATAAATAGCAAAATTTGTAAGGCGCATCACGTGAGATGGCTGCCATAAATATTTAGATTAGAATACTGAGATAAATACATAAATAAGCACGAGTAATTCTGTGTTAAAAGAGTAATTATCTCTTTGTGAAAGTGTATTATCAAACAGGAACAATAACAATGATTCGTGTGCACAGAGAAATTAAATAAAACCTCTTGATTAGACATAAAGGATAAAAAAATATCTTGGGGCTTATCTTTTTTTTTTTACACAATAGTGAACATAAACGATATCTTACACACTGCATGTATATACGGAAAACACTGAGTTATTGATTTATCCAAAATCAGATGAAACTTCACTTGGAGTTTTGAAATGAAATAAAAAAAGAAAAAAAAGAAAAACAGAGACAAAAATTGTTGCATGCTACCCCAAAAAAGAGTGATAAATCTCCATACGTATTTTTACAATCAAATCACGTCATCTAAACGCCATGTATGTTATACATCATCGTAATGACTACAGATCAACATTCTCGATTAAGAAAAGTAATCTTAAAAAGGCTGCATTTTACAGTGCATAGCTGTAACAAACAAAGAACGCTGATATGCACATCAAATGAAAATATTCGTTTTGTATATAGGCGATAAATGTAGACAACGTCACCTTCCGAGAGATTTTCCCCAAACCAAACCCTTCTCAACAGTGTAACACCACATCCAAACACCAGATTAAAAAAAGGAACAGAGAAAGCCCACAAAAATAAACTCCAAACAATAAAAACAGCCCGAACGAGCTGCGCTTTCACCTCTCAAAAGTGCCGAGGGTGATGCGGCGTGTGGAGCGAACTCTGACGAAGATCCATGTCTCTTCTAGAGTCTCACGCGGCACACGGATCTGTGTAGTCCACTAAAGTAGTGTCCGCTACTTCACTGGCTATTCCCACAGGTAAAGTCTCTCCCCAGCGTTGCAGCAGCTAGGTTCATGTAAACTTTGCTTGCAGATATACATATATATCCCTTCATAAACGTAGAGCTTTTTTGTTCCACATATACTCTTTTCACTTAGATAAAGTGTAAAACGTCTTGTAGTCTTGTATTCAAAAGAACAGAAAGAACAGTGAGGTATTGCGAATCCCTCTCTTTGCAGCCAGCCGGTGCAGCGGTGCAGCTCATTACCTTCTCAGGCTATACTGGGCCTCTCGCAACAAGCTGTCAAAATCCATGGAGTCGTACTTGCTTTTAGTGGAGGCTGGATCAAAGTCATCAGAATGGGAATCTGGAGGAAGGAAATGGCACATTTGAACATCTGTGGAAATCAGGGACTCTGGCCTCATTTTAAAAGGTGCTACTGTGTGTTACTCATTTTGCAAGAGCTGCTTTGTATGGAAGCCTGTTTCTGCCACATGCATAAAAAACAATTATGTGATCAAAAGTTATAATTATGAGATCATTTTGACTCGCGTTATAATGACGACTCTTAATGTCACAGTTACACTATCTCATAATTTTGCTTTTTATAAATCTTGACTTTTTATCTCACTGAATTAGTCAATTTCAATTTTTTTTGTCATTTTGACTCATAATTGCAACTTATCTTTCAGTATGTCATAATCTTGATTTATAGCATAACTGACATTTTGTCAGTTTAGACTTTTTGTCTCATAATTTACTTGTCAGTTTCGACTTATTTTTATCTCATAATTTACACTTTTTATGCCAGAATTAAATAAATACAATTAGACTTTTTTTTTTTTTTTTTTAGAAATTTAGACTAAATTTAGAATATTTATCTCAAAATTTAGACTGTCATAATTTCAACTTTTTATCTCATAATTATTATTTTGTATTTCATAATCTCGAATCATCTCATAATCATGACATTTTGTCAATTTAGACAATAAATGTATATTTTTTGTCAATTATGCATTTTATGTCATTATTTAGACGGTCATTGTCTCATATTTATGATTTAGTATCTCATAATCTCGACTTATCTCATAATTATGAAATTTAGTCAATTTAGTCTAATCATTTTATTTTTGTCAATCTTGGC